AGTGTGAGATTTACAAAATATCTACAATAAATTAGAAATTCATTTTTTTTCTAATCAATTCAAATAAATTTTATGATTATTCAGTCCTAGAAAAAGAATAGTTCAAATGAATCAACAGCCCAAGTTTATCATGACACCCTTGCTTGTTTATGATGAGTGTTTCCACGTATAAATGACTGAGAATTAGTGTAACTGAGGAAGAAATCCAAAAACACCTAATTTGACCGTTAATATCTTCACTGCATTTGGTTCAGTAAGAGTGTTGCTGTGTGAGCTGAGAACGTTGACAAAAGTGCATAGTGCCCCAGTAGGTTCTCAAACATTTATGAGTTCTTCAGCTCATGTTGCTCCATGGAGGCCTGTCAGATTTCATTGCATAATTCGGTGCTCTGATCCAGCTTCTATTGTGCCAACGTACCTCTATTTGCCAGGATGTTTTCTATTGCAGCTCCCTCTGCTCAGGAGCTGGAATAACAATGATTGAGAGTTTACTGGTGTTCTGACTGTCTGTGCTACCCAGTCAGATTTTCCTACCGTAGCATGGATAGATAGCTACGTGCGGAAGAGGATTAGGGCCTCTGAATAAAAAAAAAATGAATTCTGACTTTAATCTCAGAATTCGGACATTTTTCCCGTGGCCCCAATTCTCTTCTGTTGTTATGTCTATCTGTTGGTTCTAGTGTACAGGCAGGATGTATTGATAAAAATAAAAAAAAACAGCTGAGTAAGCAGCATGTGACGTAGCATTGATGTCTGCATGTGCATTACCACAAGGTGGGACGGTTTAAAGAGTGGCACAGATAGTTGAACACCGGCTGATTGCTACTTGAGCAGCAGATTGTAAGAAAAATCTCATATTGCATTAAATGTAATGAGGGATTAAAGTTGCATTCAGTTTGATGATTTTCTTACTATGTGGTGATAATGCGCGTAATAACTGTTATTTATTATAATGAGACATGATTTGTTTGGTAATTCTAAATTAAAACCTACAAATATACAATCAGTTTTGTACAAGTATCACTATCACAGTGGATACTTTAAAGCTGGATGCTTAAATACATTCACATGAGGGCAGAATAATAGACGTTATGTTCATTTATATGCCTGTATTTCTGGCTGTGAGATAATTTATCACAAGAGAAAGCTAATTTACTAACTGCAGCACTGCAATTAAACAGATACTACAGATATCAGTTGCCTAGCAAAAGCCTATTTTCTGTTGAGTAAATCTAATAGCATTGTCAGGAAGGAGAGATTTACAAGACAATGTCTGCTGAGCTGGAGCAAATATTTAAATATATGATCTTTCCTCTTGGAGAGTCTGTCAGGATCCATAGATTAAAGTAGCCAAGAGGAAATGTGATCTAATGGCGCCCACTTGTGTCAAACAGGCCTACCTGCACCATGTAGCGCACTGACACATCTACATGGCACTTCACAGTTTAGCTCACAGGCTCACACAGTCGACACCTTGTCAAATGACAAAGACAAAGAAATGAAGAGAAAATAACTGAGAACCATTTTTCACACCGATTTGCTTCTTTACTCCTTCCTTCCAGAAAATTCCTTTGTGCATCTATTGTGAAACCAAATTTGCAGTAAGCTGTGAACACATAATAGGCAGAAACAAAGGGGGTAAGGAGACAAAAGGAGGGGACTGAGACTTCCTGCAGGTTTCTGCTTTTTTATCATCTGGTTGGGTGGACTTTGTTTTCTACATCAGCTCTGCAGTTTTTATTTGCACCTACATCTCCATCTGCCTAAATACACTAGCTAAGTGCATGTAAACTCCTTTAAAATAATCATTAATATATATGTGCTTAAAGCAAACAATCAAACTGAAATGAAAAACTCAAATTACAGCGCATTTATTCTAGACAGATGCATGCTGTTCAAACATTTATTACGTTTGTTACGGTACAATTAACCAAAGTGATATACAGAAAATGAAACCTCAAAATTCAGTTTCCCAGAAAATTAGAATGTTACATAAGAGCAATGAATTATATATTTTACATGTTGGCCTAGTCAACATACAGTATACAGTACTTAGCTGCTTCTCATTTTGCAGTAGTTATGGCATCAATGCTGCATGAAATTGAGGCAATCAGCCTGTGGCTTTGCTGAGGGGCAAAGAAGCCCCGTTTGATTTTGCTCATCCGCATTGTTGGGTGGTGTTTAATTCATCTTCCTCATAAGCATAGTGAAACTACAGTAACTAAAGGAGGTGTTGGATACTGATCTACCTCATTGGCTACCCTAAGTATGTGAGGAAACAGCGCTGAGTCTCTGACAGGATGGTCAGCAGTACCGGAGCTCCGCAGGAAACTGTGCTGTCATCTTCACTGCAGGCCTTTCCATCAACTCCACACACTGCCACCTGGAAAAGTTCTCTGAAGACTTTAGTTGGCCTCATCAAGGCCCAACTAAAGGTAAGGGCGACTCACAGTTTAGACCGTGGACTCAGTAGTTTGTGGACTGGTGCCATCAGAATCAAAACCTGGATAACACTGATGAAACCAAGGAGCTGGTATAAACTTCTGCAGGTGCAGACTCACCTCACTGACACCGGTGAACATCCATGGAGTGAACCTTTCAGTAGTGAACTCTTGGGTGTTCACATGGACAATAGACTGGACTGGTCTCATAGCACTGGGTCTTTGAAGGAAAGGTCAGACTGTACCAGCTGAGAAGGCTGAGGTCTTTTGGAGAGCAGGGTGAGGGTACAACCCCACAGAAATTATTTGACTCTGAGGTGACGCCAGTAATCTTTCATGGTTTTGTCTGTTGGAGCAGAAATGTATCTGTAACGTTGAGGAAATGGTTAGATAAGTTGATCAGGAAGGACAGCTCTGTGCTAAGATTCCCCCTCGACCCAGTGCAGATGGTGGGAGGCAGAGGGACTCTGGTTAAAATCACATCACTGATGGACAGATTCTCCCGCCCGACGCATGAAGGTGTTGCTGAACTGGAGAACTCCCTCAGTGACAGACTGCTTCATCCGAAATTCACAAAGGAACGTTATCAGAGATCCTTCCACTCAGCAGCTGTCAGACTTGATAACCATCACTGTTCCCAATAAACTCAATAAGGGTTCACACATATTCTAGTATCTGTACAGCTTTACTCATAATGAGTAACATTCTGCTATCGGCACATCTCTGCTGTTGCACAGTTTTTATTGTCACTTATTGTAAATTGTCTGTGTAATGCTTAAATACACATGTAAGTTGTACATTTGTAAATTAACCTACTCAGCTGCATACTCCTTTGGACTGGGATTTTTATTTTATTTTTAGTTACATAGTATTTATGTTGAAATTTTGCCCTTACTGTACAGTATTTTTCTTCTTTATTCTGTTTTTATTTATTGCTTATTTAAGCCTTTGTTTTAATCTACTTGCTTTGATTTTCTTTAATTTTGCTGCTGTTGCACAGAAATGTCTCCATTCAGGAACAATATAGGATGTTTCTATTCTGTTCTGTTGGTTCCCCAATTATTTTTCGACCTTCTCTCTGAATCTCAAGCAAATTCAATTCTGCCATTCTCCAATCTTCTGTCAGTCTCTGGGATTTTGATTTCTAACTGCAATGCAAAATGTACTTTCATCTGAAAAATGCATCCAACATAATTGTACATACTTCCTACAAAAACTTCCTGTGAAAACGTCCATACATAACAAGGATAACTAGTGTTGGGTCACAGAAATACACAGATTTACACCCACTTGCACTCAGACACAAGGTTGAGAGCCCTTTCACAGCTTTAGCAGCTTCACGCTACTGGTTCTGCTTGATGCTCGTAACCGACAACAGTTTTTATTTACTAGTCATGAAAAGGTCAGAGCAGTCATCCCTCATACTGAAACACACTAACACACATCTAAAGGGCTGCATGAGCTCTTATTTATGCCCAGTGGCTCTCCTTATTCTTCTTCATAAAATGTTTACACCTCCAATGAAAAACAACCTCACATGTAATTAATGGATTCAAAACCTTAACAGTAATTATAGACCTTTTTCTCCTATTTATGGCAGCCATTATGTTTTCTAGAAAATGCTAATGGAGTAATTATTGATTCATCAATCAGGTGGTCTTACTGAGTATGAAATCTTTAATCCTTGTTTTAAATAAGACGTCTGTTCAGACATGCGTGAGCCTCCTTTGCTACGTTCCACAGTCACATCATTATCTGCAGAGATGTTTCTACGAGTCTGTCTTTGAGAAGATTGGAGGAGCAGAGCTCCAACTGTGAAATAGTTCTTCAAAAGTTCCCAGAGACTGTGATGTTTCCTTTGTTGTTCCTGCATGCCCCAGTTAATTCCTTTTCAACCTCTCTGCGTAAACAGTGTACATAACTGCAGATGTTTAGCGGCAGCCTAACAGATCACAATATACACAATTGTACAGTGGTCGACAAACACAAAGATTCATGCACCAAATTTATGCTGATAAAATCCTCTTTTTGAAACAACAAAGCGTTTTACTTGAAAGAGAATAGCAGAAAAAAATGCAATGTTAAAGTTACACCCATTTTGTCTTTTTAGATACTTTATTTCTACACGCTCCTATTCCTCTCTCCCACCTTCCACAACTTACACTCACAAATTCATAAATGCACAGCAGCTTTCAAATCTAGGTCATCACTGTGGAGAGATGTGAAAGCGAATGATAAATCAAAAGCATCAATTTCCCCGAGGTTAGATTGTGGCAGTGGACAGCATGTAAGCCAAATCAAAGGTAGATGAAGGCGGACACAGTTGCATATGTATGATTTTAGAATACATTGCAATGGCACACATTAATTTCTAAAGTTATTTCAGCCATAGCCACAGCTGCTGGTCACCTGACTCATCCTACAGCCAACATTAAAATGTCAACATCAATTATTTGTTTTCAAGATTTGCTTTCCCAATAAACAAGACATTTTAAAATTTCATAACGGAGTGATCAGGCAAGAAACCCCACAAAGCCTGTATTTGAGAATAACAAGTGCACAATTAATTTAAATCCTATCTCTCTTTTGTTCTCACATTCTGCCACCCTGTGAAAATGCACGGGTGTACCCTTTTCAGTCCTCACCATCTCATCTCCTCACTGATGTTTGCCCCTGAAAATACACAAAGTAAACAGGCCTTGTCTTCTTTTTATATTCCAAAATCATCTGTGACGTCCAATTCTCCACATGCCGATGAGTTCTGCACCAAACTGTCAATGGTCCGTTTCTCTTGTGTTTGTGGAATTGGCCATATGTCAGCCTGAATCAGTGAAAAACTGTGGACTAAAGCATCACCAACAGGCTTAACTTTATTCAAGAGGAAAGCAAAATGTTGGATGAGCAGGGTGAACAAAAGAGTTAATTCTAGGCAGATGGTGGAGATTTTGCATACAGAAGGAACCTATTAGTTGCTCGGGTTGGGGTTTATGACAATGTGCTCATTACAGAAAGTTGAATTATTATCATCCATCCATTGTCTGCACCCATTTATTCTTGCAGGTCTGCAGAAGGGCTGGTGCCTATTTTTACTGAACATTGGACCTGTACACCCTGGACAGGTCCACAGTCCATATTGCAGGACATCATAGACACAGGTAGGACAAACAACCATCCACACACACTCATACAATTTAGAGAGACACTTTAACCTAACACTCCTCAGACTCAGGACAATAGAGGCAATAGTGCAACTGAATGTGCCACTGTGTACCCCAATAAATTATTGCATTATTACAGACCCTGCATAATAATGTATAATATTGCAATGGAGGTATACGAAGGTATGTAAATATTCTAATTTATTATTGTTGACTGGATTACAATAAAAGCAAACAATTTGACATGGCAAAACCTTCTACACATAACTTTAACACAGATAAATATCGCAAACATTCTGGACTGTTTAAGAATACTTTTGACATACCAAACATTTCAAAAGTATGGTTGGTACGCGGGGACAGAATCAAGACAGAACCATAAAAAACTAGTTTATCTACTTTGTCCAGTCAAGTTGTGCGGGTAAAAAACTTCATTTCCCGTCAACCTATGACGTCACGAACGCAAAACTACAGTGAACGACCACGTGACTTGTTTTTGTGTATTCAATGAATCGGGATATTCCGCTTCATATGAAGAAAAATAACTGAGTCTGTATGACACTTGGTATTTTTTTCTTTTAAAGATATTTTAAATCCTCCCCTTACCGGATTTTTAACATTCATTTAAAATTTAACGCCAACTCTCTGTTTTGACGTTCTTCATCAGCGAAACATTTGGAAATGCAATTTAATGATTTTTAGTGCACGAATAAGCTTAGTTAAATACGGATGGAAATCTCTAGTAATTAAAAGTAAAGACATTTGTAATGTTAGTTGATCTCGGTGTCTATAATTTACCATCTTAAATCATTTGCATGATTTAAAATGTTCCAGGCTTTTTCCGAGGCACCGCAAACGCCGCATTGATTTTGTTTCGGAAGTGGCTTCCTTTTCTTTTCAGAGTCAGAGGACGGCTCAGAATGGCTCACCTGCTCTTCGCCTGCCTTGTTCTCTGGGTTTTGTCCATTTGCTCTGCCGCTCCGCCGAATTTCGTGCTCCTCTTCGCGGATGATCTGGGATTTGGGGACTTGGGCTGCTATGGACACCCGAGTTCACTGACCCCGAACCTGGACCGCCTCGCAGCAGGAGGACTTAGATTTACGGATTTTTACTGCACCAGTCCGGTCTGCAGCCCCTCTCGGTACCCCGCCGCTTTATAACAAGCTGCTCAACGAGCAGTTTATTCTACTAATGTTCGGGATACCAGTCCTGTCCAGTTCTGCAGCTTCAATGTTCTTGCATTATTAAAAGATGTCCTATTGCGTTGCATTAACTAGCTACCTTTATTGCATTGCTTGCTTCTCAGGGCATCGTTGCTGACAGGTCGCTACCAGACCCGCTCAGGCATCTTTCCAGGTGTATTTTACCCAGGCTCCATTGGGGGTCTCCCCCTGAATGAGACCACCATTGCAGAGGTGTTGAAACCTTTGGGTTATTCCACAGCTGCTGTGGGGAAGTGGCACTTAGGCTATGGAGCCAATGGAACATTTCTCCCAACGCAACAGGGGTTTGACCAGTACTTGGGAATCCCATACTCTCACGACCAGGTGAGTGTTTCAAATCCTAAAAGAAGGAATGAAATTTGAAATGATCTGTAACTAAATCTGCTTTTCTCTCAGGGGCCATGCCACAACTTGACCTGTTTCCCTCCAGATGTAAAGTGTTTTGGATTTTGTGATGTTGGAGTAGTGACCGTCCCTTTGGTCCACAACGATAAGATCAAGCAGCAACCAGTCAACTTCCTTGATCTGGAAAAGGCGTACAGCGACTTTGCAAACAACTTTATAATCACATCTGTCAAGAAAAATCAACCTTTCTTTCTCTACTACCCATCACATGTAAGTAATAAAACAATCTGAGAATATTTGTTTTGTATTACACTTTAGTTATATTGCAGACAGTGACATGGTGCTACATAATGCTTTAATTACATTTTTCATCATGCTTTCTTACAGCACACTCACTACCCTCAGTATGCTGGTAGCAGAGCAGCAGGTCACTCTCTGAGAGGTCCATTTGGTGATGCCCTCTATGAGTTTGACAGCACAATAGGAAGCCTAATAACAACCCTGGAAAAGATGGGCGTGATCAACAACACACTTGTGTTCTTCACTGCTGACAATGGGTTGGTTGGTTGGTTGGTTGGTTGGTTGGTTGGTTGGTTGGTTGGTTGGTAAATAAATAAAGAAGAGCAGAGATGTTGAAGAGATGTACCTTTTTTGCAGATATTTTGACAAAAATACAGAAGTACCTGTCCTTTTTCTCTTATTGTGTTTAAAAAATGCAACCCACTGTTGTAGTAAGTCTTAAAAAATGTGACAAGGGCTCGGCTTTTATTGTTGTTCTTGTTTTGAGCGGTAATGTTCATCTCTCACTTGAAAATGCTTTAAGAATAATATAACTCTAACGTACTGCTAAGGCAGATCCATTATGGAGGTAGGGTGACACATTGCTCTGTTCTGAGAATGAGAATCGACCGATCAACTTAGCCACATAAAGTAACTTGAACAAATGATTAAAAACATGTTCTTGCAGCATAGCTGTAAAAAAAAAAAAAAAAAAAAAAAAAGCATTTCAGGAAGTTTTGGGCTATGAACTGACAGACATACTTTTTATAGAGCAAGAAGGAGAAGTGAGACCCTCAAAACATGTGATTTCTAATGTTACAGAATCACTTGCAAATTACAGAAGCATTGATTACAAACAGAGATCTGTTCTCCTGTAATGTAACCCCTATCTACATTACAGGAAACGTGTAAACAATCTCAGCAATGTTTCATATAATTAAACAGCATATTATTTCTATGTGTGTGTGTAGGCCTGAACTGATGCGTATGTCGCGTGGTGGAAATTCAGGCCCACTGAGATGTGGCAAAGGTACAACATATGATGGAGGCATGAGGGAGCCAGCCATTGCATTCTGGCCAGGAGTCATCAAACCGGGTAGGGACAGTAAAAGTGAAAAAAACGTCTGGTGTTTTTCTGGTTTTAATCACACATCATAAATTACCTTAATGACTATATTTATGAGCAGACTGCTAGTATTAATTTTGTTGTTATCTTCTTAGTCATCACTTGTCATTATGAAAGTATTTATTGTAATAAGACTGTATTGACAGCAGCTCTGTTTCTGGACTGTTTCCGTTTAGGGGTGACCCATGAGATGGCCAGCACTCTGGATATCCTCCCAACCATTGCAAGTCTGGCTGGAGCCAAGCTTCCCCCAGTAATACTGGATGGGTTTGATATGACAGATCTCCTCTTTCACGAAGGAAAGGTGACAGATGTGTCCTCTGTGTTCTTTAATCAAAGTCATTTTTTTAAGCCATGCTGACTTAAGCGTAATGTGTGTCTTTGATCTCATTCTCTGTTTTGCAGAGTAAAAGGGAGGCGATGATGTTCTACCCCACAGATCCTAATGAAAAATACGGCCTGTTTGCTGTAAGATTGGGAAAGTACAAGGCCCACTTTTACACAAGAGGTAGAATCCAAAGCACACACAGCCTAATCTTTTCTCATACCATCTCATCATATTTAGAAACATGTCCAGCTGACATGCACAATCCTTTATTCTAATGAGCTTTACTGAAGGGTATGTTGAGAACGGTGCTATAAATAGAGGTCAAAAGCTATAGAAATTAAGAATACAACAGGGATGTCCAAATCATTCTGGCTGGAGCCTTTGAGGATCTATGATCCTCAAAGTTGTTGTATTTTTTGGCCCACAGTAGTAATTTAGGAGTGGTGCAAATGTGTCCTGCTAGCAGTATTTGCAGAAAGATGTTAATTCAGACAATATTTTGACAAATAAAAATGATCTTAAAAATGTTAATATTACGTATTGCACAAAGTATTTGTCTTTTCTTAAACATATGACGCAGGTATTTCCAAAGATTCACATTCCAATTATAGAAAATAGATTTTAAAAATGGCTAGACTAAGAAAATAATGAGAAACAAAACAACACAAAAGTGTGGTAAAATATTTTTTTGTTGGTCTATCATGAATTCCCAATTAATTTAACTGAAATTTGTAGTAGTATAATGATAAATTGTAAAAAAAAAAAAAATCTGTTAATTTATTAATTTATTTGAGCAGCATATCATTTTATATTCCTTTTTTAACATAAATGTTATTGTTTATGTTTGTCAAACATAAACAATAACATTTTTTAAGAAAGAAAAACCCAAGAGTTATGCAGTTAATCTGACACTTGCTGATTTCTTTTATGGTTTTTCCCCATTAGGCGCCACCCACAGTGCTACCATCCCTGACCAAGATTGTTCCGAGTTTGCGGTCCTCAAGGCCCATGATCCACCTCTCATTTTCGACCTGGAGGCCGACCCCTCGGAGCACTACCCTCTTCCTCTGGACGAGCGACCCGACATCCAAGCCGTGCTAGTGCAGATAAAGAAAGTCAAGGCGCAGTTTGAGGCGACTATGGTCTTTGGAGAAAGCCAGATATCAAAGGGACAGAACCCGGCTCTTGAGCCCTGCTGCAGTCCGGAGTGTAGCCCCAAGCCCACCTGCTGCCACTGCTGAGTGGTGGAGAGGGCGTTGGGGGTGTTTGTGAAGACAAGGTGGGAATTCAGCCTTAAATCTAAAGATCAGGGAACATTAAGGTCATGTGGAGTTTTGCACTAATCATTTTCTTTTAGCTTCTGGAGAACATATCTCCTCTTGTTATTGAAAAAGAATGCTATAATATTTTCCTCAATGAGGAAATTTTCTTCTGATTAACATTGACATCTTTTAGTACTGTATGTTCTCCAACTTGAATACAAATGTTTTAATATTTGTACAAAAATGTTCTCCTTAATTTTCTTACATGATCAAATTTATGTGAAGCTCAATAAAGACGACAAAAAACTTTCAGACATCAAGCATATATTTTATTCATAAGACCAAACCCATGACAAGGCAGAGTGATTTTTTTGTTGTTGTCGTTTTGCAATTTTTTTAGTTTTCCTTGAATTTTTAAAGATACAAGATAGGTTATGTTGGCTTTTTCACATACTGTTTTGCTCTAGGTATACAGTGATGAATCTTGTTGAAGTAATAAAGTCAAAAGTTTGGTTTAACTGTATTTCTCTGTGGTTATATGGGACTAGACCATCCTCAAAGGCTGTTTTAGTGGAGCTGCTTTGAAGAGACGGGGCTTTTAACTCAGCTGGAACAAGATAGAAAACGTAGTCAGAAGCAAGTAGATACATAGATCAGAGATGGATCACGCTGTTTTTGCTCAGAGGCGATGACCACAACGGGCAAGACGCGATACGATAGTTTTCCAGTGGCATCTGAGTGGGTTTAACTCCACTGTTAACCTGGTGTGGAGGGTTGCTCTCGCACACTGGTGGCCCCACAGCTCACAGATGTGCCTTAAATGTGCTGCCGAAGCCTGTCTGTGTAGAAACTATGGAGCCAGCAGGAAAGTTCCACCTGAGAGGCGAAACATGACACATTCAAATTAAATTATTGCAGATCACAAAAGTCTTTTCTTTGTTTTTAGGGATTTTTGTCTGGTTGTGATCTTTTTTTTTTTTTTTCATAATGAATTTTTAAAATTATTTTACATACTCATTTTGTCAACATACTCAACATAAAGGACACAGCACTTAGATTTTCTATTGTATATACATGACCTAACTGACAGCGATATATATGTAGATAAAACCCTCACTCCTGCCATGTCGACTTATACCACTGAAATCCTTCAGATCAGGAGTGTGTTCCTTATTATGACTGAACATAGCAGAGAAAGACGTGAAATATCTGGCTAAGATAACAAGAGCAATGTTTGGCGCTGGAAGCCTGAGTTTCAAATAACAGATGACTGCGGTGCCCGTTTCGTTTTTAGGTGTACCTCCTCCTTCTCCTGTCTAAAAATATATTTTTCCGCAGTATTGACACCGGCGGAGATTATTGAGTGCATTATTTCATCTTTAACAAGCCTAGAAGCATTAAATAAATATGGGGAACCGGTGACTATTTGGTAGTTTACACGACTATAAAAACTCTCTTTAAAGCTCTAAGAAAAGGTTAGATTTCAATGATAACTGGACCAAGCAATAGCAGTTTACTGTCACTGACATGCAGCCACTGTTCGAACTAGTTTCTTTCAGAAATTTCAAAATAAAACAAAATGTTGGCTAACACATCACCCAAAACCACAATAATTCAGTCAAAACATTGAGAATATGGCTTGTCAGGGGGCCTCAGCTATCTTTGACTTGAAAATCACATACTCTCCAGCAAAGCAGATTTTGCAGGTCTAACTGTTGAGACCGATTTTGTTTGTTTGGCTCAAATATGCCACAATCTAATTAATAAATATTTTATTTGGTAAATATTTAAAATATGATCATATAAGTAACATTTTTATAAATCAATACATGTTAATATATTGATGTGTCAATAAAATATTAATCCACAAATCTAAATTGAAACCATTAATAAAAAGTAATTGGTTTTGTGCTAAATAAATATTTATTTTATATTTCCAGTGCTACACTTCAAGTTGAAAAAGAATATTAAGAAAAATATTTAAAGCAAGAATAATAACAATAACAGTCTGCACAGTGATGCAGGTAGCAGCACTGCTGCCTTGCAGCAAGAAGGTCCTGGGTTCAAATCCCGGGGTCTTTCTGCTTGGAGTTTGCATGTTCTACCTGTGGATGCAGACTCTGTTGTCCTGCCCCACTGACCCCTGGAGATAGGCACCAGCACCCCTTACAGTCCCATTAAAGAAAAGCATGTTAGATAATGGTTGGATAAATAATAATAGCAGTATTTTTAAAAAGATTTATTGATGACAAATAGATTTCTAAAAAAAAATCATGTTGTTTCTGTGGATAGTCTGTAATGTCTAAATGATTAACGATCACAACAGTTATCTTGCCAGTAGCAGTGTTTGTTCCTGTCCTTCAATGGGTTAGACAGAAAAATAAATACATTTAAGAGGTCCTGAAAAACAAGCTACAGCAACAGAGCTACTAAATAAAACAGACACTAAGATAATTACATATCCTTTTGACATATAAGAAAAGCAAACTTCTAATTTTGAATTTGTTGAAACACTGAAATTTTTAAATAATATAAGATATATTTGTTAATTCATCTAATGCATTTATTTTTCTTTGAATTATCACATGTATAAATATCTACAAAACAATGTATTTAATAATTAAATTGTGGCACTTTTGGGCTTTGGTAAATTTGCCATGAAAGCTACTTGTGGTAAAAAGTCAACAAGCAAGACAACTGTCAGGTCAGGAGAGGAGGGAAAATCAATGCTGTAATATGATTCAAACAGTTACTGGACCAAATCCAGTGTGAATAAAATATCTGCAGAGCTAATAGCATCAAAAGTTAGTTCCAAGTCAACTTTTCCAAACTTATTCCACTTTTACTTCTGGTGTTCTCCCGTCAGAGCAGGCCATTGTTTTACTACTTTTTTACCCACATCAAAATCTATAGCAAAATCAGTCCCGTCTGTGTTTCCAATCAGACTCAATGAGGCAATGTATGTCTGTCTACTTTCTATACATGTATTTACAACACACACTTTATCTTGTACGAGACGAAGGGAGTAGGTTGAATAAAAGAGCTGCTAACTTTCTCTAATCGACCCCAACATTTTCTTCAGTACAAAGCAAGTTAGCTATTTAAAACAAAACAAAAGATATTTACAAACCTTTTGATTCTATACCATTCCCTTACAATTGTTGAGCTGCTTGTCATTCACTTGGATATGTGTATTTGTTGGTGTCAGTGTGCAGCAACCCTACCAGCCATGCATTCAGAAGTGATACAGCCGTAGTAGGTATAATGTAAGTTCAAAACCAGAACTTTTTAAATAAACAGGTGCTCAGCTTTTTAGTTTTGTACCATAGAAAAAAACAGTAAAAGAAACAGGCAATCAATGCATTGCGATCAGGGAATTCAACAGGAAAAGGGATGAATGAAATCAGTCTAATAAATAGCTTACTGTAGAAACAATGATCCCAGTTTGAGGAGGATGCAGAAAAATATTTTACAGTGATCCTGGAGGAACATAAATAAAAGTAAAGAAAGACTGACAGTGTCCTGTGGTGGAAAACTTAACCAATGTACATTGGCTATGGAGGAAAGGGGTCGTCATGTGTTCTCCGTCTACTCCAGGTAGATGTCTTCAGTCGGGCAGGCGTACTCCAGGTGTTCTTGGTAGTACTCTTGGAAGGCTCGACTGCAGAAAAAGATGACAAAAGCAGACATGGGAACTGGTGTTGCAGCTTAAAATTCGCTTTAGCATCTTAATGTTTCAGAATGAATGCCCAGGTACCATAGCACAAAAAATAAAGATGTGAAGATAAACACAAGTCCTACTTAGGTTCAGGTCTTGAGATTATGTCTACAGAAGGCAGCATGAGAAGCCAATAGATAAAACTGAGCCTTACTGTCAGGTCTTAATATTTTCGCAGTGACGTATCTGCATCTTTAATTATTCAGACATATAATGGCTGAATGAGACATGAGAAATCCTGTAATCTTTTAAGTTGTCACCTCCTGCCCACTTAAAACCAGGATGGGAAAAAAATTATCACTTCTGACTTTTAATGTTTAATCCCAACTTTTATTCCAAAGTACTTCACACTATATTCTTTTAGCATGCAACTAAAAGATCTAAAAAATCCCCCAAAACAACACAACATTTTCTGATCTGGACACATTCTAGAACAGACAGGCAATAAAGTCACTGACCAGTCTGTCAGGCACCAGAATTGTACTGAGATTTTGGAGAGCAAAGAATCCTTTTTAATGAGTGTTGAGGGGAATGACCATAAAAAAGAAAGAAAGAAATCATTTAGTTTTAAGGTTGTTAGAAGAAAGCGAAGATTTATGAAAATATGGGGCCAAAATATGGATAGAGTACAGAAAGATCAACAGAGAAGCTATTAATGTATATGGAGAAGATCCTAACATTGATTTTGCTTGCATGAGACTTAACTTGTGAGCCAAGAGACACAAAAACAATTTTACTATTTCTTGATCATTGATGGATTGCATTAATCAACATTTTAATTATAGAAACGTACCCAACACACTCAGCCACAGGCCGCATGGATTCCTGGGATACAAACACATGGCAAGCAAATCTGTTCAGCATTGGATGCTTGGTGATGAAGCCAAAGTAGCTGCAGAGAGATGAGAGCAATATGATGCAATCAGTCAGGTGTTAGTGTGCAGTAAAAAACACGAGGGCAGAGGGCAGGAGGCTTTGTTCACCAGTTGTTCCTTGGATGACATCCACAGAAAGAGATGTTCTTCATCTGGAAGAAGTGACTACATCTGTCGTACTGGGGATGAGAAGAGAAAGATGGACAGAATTTAGAACAAGATTGTGGACGAATGAGGGAAGTAAAATTACTCTGCAAAATTACTCTGCACAAGATGGATGTTTTATCTCATGTATTTATTCATTTGTACCTCATCAAGGGTGTCATATTCGTCGTCCAAACTCATGATTAGCTTAACTCCTTGTAAGCTGATCTCCAGCTCGCACAGAGAAGGAGGTCTTACATGTACCGTCCGTTTTCTCGACAGCGCAATCTACACGACAAAAAAATGTGTTCATGAGGCTATTGATAGTTTTTCAGGGTGGTGTTTGGTAAGTATGTCATTCAGACGTTTGCAAAAGCTCGTGATCTACAGAGTAAACATTGTATTATTTGTGGCTATTACTGATGACCTATATTATTTTTTGCTTTTTTTCCCAAGGTGGAATGATTGCACAACTTCAATAAATTTTTAAATCAAGAGTTGAGTACACACCTGTGAATTTAATGCAAATTTTACTCAATTCACATAGGTTCAAACTTATCAACACAGGCTCAACTAAACATATACATCTCCACTAATATTTAGTATTATTCCTTCTCAAGTTGCAAAGAAACCATATACTTTTTCTAGTTATCAACTCTTTATAGCAGAATTGGTTGAGCTAATCTAAATTGATTGATTTCTTGGCATGAACTGAGCTTTTAAGCATGGTCCATAATTTGAGGTCATTACTTTGGGGAGGACATCCAGGAAGACTTTAA